CTGTAAGAAGGCGTTTGACACAGTTCCACACAAGAGATTAGTGCAAAAACTGGAGGACCAGGCAGGGCTAACAGGGAAGGCACTACAATGCATCAGACAATACCTGTCAGGAAGACAGCAGCAAGTCATGGTACGAGGTGAGGTGTAATAGTGGGCGCCTGTGACCAGCGGGGTTCCACAGGGGTCAGTCCTAGGACCAGTGCTGTTTCTGGTATTCGTGAGCGACATGACAGAAGGAATAGACTCCGAAGTATCCCTGTTTGCAGGTGATGTGAAGTTGATGAGAAGAATTCAATCGGACGAAGACCAGGAGGAACTACAAAGGGATCTGGACAGGCTGCAGGCCTGGTCCAGCAATTGGCTCCTGGAGTTCAATCCCACCAAGTGCAAAGTCATGAAGATTGGGGAAGGGCAAAGAAGACCGCAGTTGGAATATAGTCTAGGGGGCCAGAGACTACAAACCTCACTCAAGGAAAAGGATCTTTGGGTTAATATAACACCAGGCACATCTACCTGAGGCACACATCAACCAAATAAATGCTGCAGCATGCGGGTGCCGAGGAAACTTAAGGACCGCATTCCGACATCTTAGTAAAGAATCGTTCAGGACCCTGAACCCCGTGTACGTTAGGCCTATATTGGAGTATGCAGCACCAGTCTGGAACCCACACCTAACCAATCACGTAAGGAAACTAAAGAAAATGCAAAGGTTTGAACCAAGACTAGTCCCAGAGATAAGGGGCATGTCCTACGAGGAGAGGTTAAGGGAAATCGACCTGACGACACTGGAGGACAGGAGAGATACAAATACAAATATTTATTTTTCTGTAAAAATTACAATGTAGGGTTTACATATTATAGAGTATGGGTTGCAATGTATGGTTTCATATTATCAAGTACTACTTACAAAGAGGGCCACTATGATGCCTAGCATGACTAGGCATTTCAGGTAGACTAATAATAATTCTAACTCTATGTTGTTACAGGTCATGGAGCTTATAGATATTAAAAATAAGTAACTGCAATACAATAAAAAACGGTTTGATCTTGACATGATACACAGTTTCTGTAAAGTTCCTATACTGGAGTATCTCAGGCAAACTTATGACTAGTTTAAGATTTATTGGACAATTGCTTTATTCAAAAATTTATGTTTACAGTCATTTGGGTGAGTGTAATTTGGGGGAATCACAGATATCGAGAGTAGGTTTAGTTTGTTTTTTATGTGTGCATGACACAAGTAAGAGAATAGCTGACGGTGGGGTGTGTCAGGGAGATTAGATGTTTTTTAACGGTAGTTTTGAAAGTGATGAATGTGTCTGCAGTTCTAGAGTTTTCAGGAAGGGAGTTTCAGATTTTAGGCCCTTTTATGTACATTGAATTTTTGTATAGGTTTACCTGAAGTTTACCCGGAGAGGGTTTCGATTGTCAATGCCCCCCGCAGCCCAGTCTGACACCAGGCCTCATGGTGGATCAGGGTCTGATCAACCAGGCTGTTACTGCTACCTGCTGGCCGCAGCTTTAGCCGGACATGGGGAATGTCATAGAGATTTTTGTGCCTGGTGTGCCTGTGGGCCCTGTCACAACTATCAAGAAACTGTTTCAGTTCAGGGTTAATCTTGGAATTTATGGTTCTGTAAATGTAGGTTGCACAGTAGTAGGTGTGGGTGTTCTGTATAGTGAGCAAGTTTAGATCTTTGAAGAGTATTGGATTGCGTGATAATTCTTACTGTGGCTTTTTGCTAGGTTATTATTGGTTTTAGGTGTGTTGCTGCTGTTGATCCCCTAGCGCAAATAGCATAGGTGAGGTAGGGATAGATGAGTGAGTAGTATAGTATGAGTAGGGCTGATTGTGGCACTTAGTAGAGTATCTTGGAGACGATCCCAACAGTATTGGATACTTTTTTTTTTTTTGTTATGTGTTGGATATGGGTGCTGAATTTCAGGTTACTGTCGAGGTGTAGGCCCAGGAATTTGCCCTCGTTATGTTTAGCAATAAGAGTGTTGTCGATCTTAATGTTTAGCTGTGCATCTCCTGCTTTGTTACCAAACATAATATAGAAGGTTTTATCAGTGTTAAGTGTAAGTTTATTGGCTGTCATCCATGAAGATATTTTTTGTAGCTCCTCGTTAACAATGGTGCGGAATGTGACAAGATTGGGGTGGGAGATGACATAAGTCGCGCCGTTAGCAAAAAGAATTGGTTTCAGGTGTTGTGATACGTTGGGAAGATCATTGATGTATAAGCGGAAGAGCAGGGAACCAAGGACACTTCCTTGTGGCACTCCAGTAACAAGTAGCCGTGTTAATGAGGTTGCCTTTAATGGTGACGTACTTGTACCTATTAGTAATGGTCAAGTTTGTGGAGTAGGATGCCGTATTCTACTGTGTCAAAAGCTTTCGTTAGGTCAATAAAAAGTCCTAATGGGTATTCCTTATTTTCCAGTGCTGTGTAAAGCAGATCTAGCATTTTTACAATTGCACTGTTAGTGCTTTTATTTTATCTGAAGCCAAAGTTGGCAGGGGTTGAGCATGCTTTGTGTTGTTATAAACGAGTATAATCTCTTGTGCACGAGTTTCTCGAAGATTTTGGATAGCAATGGTAAGTTTGATATTGGTCTATAGTTGTTTACATCTGTAGGGTCATCACCTTTGTGTACTAGTGTGACCGTTGCTGTCTTAAGTAGTGTCGGGAAAGTGCTAGTTTCTAGTGATTTGTTAAAGGACATGGATGGCTCGTTTGTACAATACTAGTGGGACTTGAGACAGATTCCCTGATTTATTTTTAAGTTACTTGATTGAACATTAAAATGGTATAAAATACCGACAGGTTGTTAGGTAAGACCCATATGCAACAGTTAGGTATCTTTATTATGAAACGTTTCATCGTCTTCAGTATCTTCTCCTTCTATCAACTTTTCTGTACTCGACTGAAGAAGCCTACAGTGTAGGCGAAACGTTTCACAATAAAGATACCTAACTGTTGCATATGGGTCTTACCTAACAAGTTACTTGATAATCGTGGTGACTTCAGTGGGCTCAGTAGGTGCAAGAAGGAAGTTGGGAAATTGCCATCTAAGTATTCACTTGTTCGGGCGTTGGTACCTGGGATTTTACTGGCGAGATTTAATCCTGTGTTTGAGAAATCATTTATTTTGTTAACTGTATCAATAGGCTGTAGTGGTGTTTCATTCGGTTTAGTTAGGACAATATCCCTAGTTTTTTCAGTTTGTGGGGCTCCAGAATCCGTGAGAGTGTTTTCCAGATCTTTTTTTTATATATCCTCTTGTTTCAGTGAATCTGCTGGAGTAATATAATTATTTTTTTTATTAGTTTGGTGAGAACTGGTGCATAGTGTTTAATAATATCTTTGCGTATTAAGTCCTGTCTATATTGCTTTTCATATTGATGTTTCTTATCAATGGATCTTAGTATGCTGTTAGTTAGCCATGGGCAACCTAGCCATTTATTCGTAATCTGTTTCATTTTTATAGGACAATGTTCGTTATATAGTCTAAGTAATTTATTAAGAAATATGTCTGTTCAATCATCGATACCATTGGCACTGGAGAATTCTGTAGTCCAGTCAACAGTCTCTAGGTCTGCTGTGGAGTCTAAAGGAGACTGTTGTAATTCCAGTGGTGGTTTACTAATGTTTGTTAAGAGGAAGGTGATGTAGTGGTCAGTAGTGCTGTCTGTAATTATCCCTGATTTAAGGGGGGCTAGTATATTGGTCCATATATGGTTGATTATGGTTACACTTGTCTCAGTCAGCCTGGTTGATTTAGTTAATGTTGGTATGAGAAGTGTGTTGTTCATATTGTTGATGAAATTATTTACTGGCTGGTCATCTGGTAGGCCAAGGTTGATGTTGAAGTCTCTGGCTAAGAGAAGGTGGTGCTTGTTCATTTGGTTGTTTGTTATTGGTGTCTTTAGTTTATTGCTAAAATTTGGATGTTTGTATGAGGCATCTAGCAAATGGCACTGATTGTTATAGGAGTCTTAAGGTTTTTTACAGTAAAATTCGCAAAAATTTATTCTCCATATTCATCACTATAGCAAGTGGTGTTATAACAAAGATATTTCATTAAAGTAATAGATTACAATACCATTCCCAACTTGGTATGGTCTGCAGGTGTGGATTGCTGTGTATCCTGGTAGTGAATAGATATCTCTTGTATCCTGCTTAAGCCAGGTTTCAGTGAGAATAATACATGAGGAGGTTGTCTTTAGGGAATCAAGGAGCGCCAGGAGGTCATCATAATGTTTACTTAAGGATCTGATGTTGTAGTTAAGAACTGTTATGCTTATTTTAGTATTTAGGGCAGTGTTGGCTTGTGATGCTATGTAACAGAGACAGTTACTTTCCAATAAATTTGGATTGGGTGTTAGATTATGTAGGTTTAGATCAGGGTCAACGTGATCATTCAGCATTTAAGTTAGATAGTAATTCTTTATATCATGTATAATGTTGTGAGTTCTAGTACTGATATCTGTAGTAGTGGGATATTTGAACAAGTATATAGCTAATGCACATTGGTCAAAGAGAGAGTAGTAACTAACAAACAGTATGACTATTTAAATGTTTATTTATGACAATATACTCCCTTTGGACAGTTTCTTTACCTAAGGCGGCAAATTGTGCTGAAGCACAATGTTTATATCCAGCAGTGCATATATTTATATTAGGAGAAATATGTTATCTATAGTGTCTTGTCATAATGATGAACTCTGCTGATCATACGCAGTTCAGAAACACATCAGATATCATGACATCATGAATTACGTTATCTTATTAGCTCCATTGTATACAGTTATTTGGTAAGTATTGACCTTCAATTGCATGATGTTTTCTTTCTTTAGTTAACCTGCTTTAAGCAAATCTTTGTAAACTTGCATAAATTAGTCTAAGAAATAAGAGAAATTAGAAGTATAGCAAACAATACCTGAGACAAGTAAGGAAAAAATTGGTTTCGAGAATAATGCCTGGCACCTCAAGACGATGATGCGCTTACAAGGAGGCAGTGGTAGACAGACCGCATTGGGAAACACTTGTTCTTCTTGATAAATCTTACCTACAGAGGGCAGTGTTTTAGGCTTCTACGACCTGAGTGACCATCGCTCTCACTCTGCATCACCAGAAAAGAAGAGTAACGAGTTGGTACGTGTCTCGCTTAATGTCACGCATAATTTAAAAAAAGTGCCTTCATTCTATTTTTTTTAATGGGAAAGTCAATAATCTGTCCATTAATGTAAGTAAGTAAGTTTATTCAGGAATACACAAATACAGTTACATAGATTATCATACATAGCAGCATATGTGTAGAGAACCTGGGATAACCCAGAAAAGTCAGACAGTGACTTATTTCCATCAATTTACTATGAGAAATTATGAAGGTGAATTTCACAGGTACAATCCTAAATTACCATTTCACACATAAGTGGGGAGATGTCTGGCATCTAAAACAGATCACACTCATTGACACTAGTTGTACCTGGGAAACAGGTGGGACTTTAGCAACAGTGGGTCACATCACTGTCACTCCTTCGATGCCCACCTTCTCAGTTCCCCAGACTCACACATCTGGACCTTAAATTATGTGAACATATAGGTCTTGAAATTATTAAATAAATATTTGCTGTATTAAAAATTTAGTTGTGGACTGTATATGTTACTGAAAAATTATTTTGTTTGACAACTTTAAGTAATTTGTTTTGTCCACGGTTTAAATTTAAATTTCATATAGTTATCACATAAAATTAACCATTCCTAAATGCAGACCATAAGAATTACTTACCAAGTTATTATCTTGGTGATGTATCCTAAAACCTCCCTAACAGGTAGGTATGCTAAATATTGGCCAATACTAGATACCTTACCTATTTGAGTTGATACCATATATAAGGAGGCGAAATTAAATTATTGAAAGTACACGTGAATATCAACATGTCTCATCACCGTGTCACATATTATCTTCATTATCAGCCTTATTATGGCAAGATTATTATGTATCTGAACCCTTCCAGATACCTATTATATTCACTCATTTCCTGGTCCCCAGTTATTGTCGATACACTCTTCATGGGTTTTGATTACCCACGTTTTCTTCCTGTTGATTAGCCGGTATTCTCCCGCCCGGGCCTTTTCCAAGTGGTGGCCCGGCCATGGCTCCCTGAGACGTAAGTCTTCCATGGGAGGAGGCACAAGTACCCCCTCATCTTTGGGACCAACTGTCCCCAGGCCTAGCCACATTCCCCGCCCTCACGGGGCTCGTAGGGAGAAGCTAGGCCTCTCTGGTCTGTCATCCCCGCCCCAAGGGGGATAATGGGAATGACAGTCTTGTGAGCTGCAACCTCTGGCTCAGGCACCTGCCCTAGCCCTAGAAGGGCTGGGCATGGTGTCGATGAATTACCCACGATCAAATTCTGCAACACTCCCCGGTTAATATATACGTTCAGCCATTTTCCGTCTTTCTATGTTTTCCTACTACCACATTTTTAAAATAAATTTAATATCACTTCCTGGTGTGTACTACATTTTCATTAATGAAATATTAATTTCCTCTAAATTACAACAATTTTCACTTATTCATCTCCTTACAGAATATAAGGAAATAATATAGAATATTAGTTCTCATGTCACAAAACATCTTTTAAAAGTCACGAAAATACACAGTTTCAGATAAACATTATCCCAGTCAATTTTTACACATAAATTACAGGAAAATTATTAAAAAAAATCTACATTGCAGCCAGGCAGAGTTTGTTGTAGACGGCATAAATCACTTCTTCTATGAGTCGATTCCAGCAAGCTAGACCTTGAGTTGCTTTTCTCCTAGTAGGCCTAGTAGGCCTAGTAGGCTTTATTACAACTTCTCAAAACTGAATTTCTTGGTCGGTACTGTCTTCAATTACACTCATGTCACTTTCCCTTAGATCGTTTTTTCCCATTTCTTGTACACCATTTAATTCTAAGGGAATTAATTTATTAATAGTAGGCAGACTTTCGTGACCGGGACACAACCCACGAACCACGACACAACACACGAACCACGACACAACACACGAACCACGACACAGCACACGGACATTCCTAATAACACCTTGCGAGTCTGGCCTCAATTTTCAATATTGATCTACATCAGTTAATACAATATCGCCAAGTTGAATGTTCTGTCTATTCACAGCTTCTGACGCCCCATGAAGGTGTTCACGTAGAATGGGAAGATATTCTTTGCGCTACACACATTATACCAATGATTGATCTACTTTATCTAACACATTAAATTTATTCCTCAACGATTCTGCATTATTATAATATTCATTAATATCTTATGGAGTATCTCTGTAGATAAGTGCGGCCTCCGATAACATGGTAATATATCCACATTAGGAATTTACTAATGTATGTGAGGGGTCGATTATTTATTTGATTTTCCGCCGCCACTAACACAGTACGGAATTCCTCTCAACTGATTCTTTGTTTGAAGAAAACTTCTGAAAGTAACATATGTCACCCTAAGAGAATACCTTGATTTGGTTACATATGTTGCTTTTAGAAGAGCCTCGATAGTTCCTAGAATTGCTATTTTCAGCTTCAGTGACTAATGGCCAACCAGGACCTTCAAGGTCACAAAGAAATATTAAGACCTGTTCTTCTAGGTTGAATCCTCTAAACATTACGAAGGTTCTACTGACTACTTGCGTGTAAACCTTTGGAAGTATTTTCATCTTTGCGTACGCTGGCTGGTCCCCAGTGATCATGGTCACCTGTCCTGGGTTTAGGTAGATTATGTTCTTAATTAGTAACTGCAAATCATGTAAGATCGTTGATGAGTGATTTGATGATTGTATAAGAAACGGGACGAACCGCCCAGTAGTAACAAAGCCCGAGGTGGTCAGAAATGAGAATGTTACATAATCTTATTCCACTGTAAATTAACCGAGGATAGCCATTTTCATGTCATTTGAAAAATAAAATGCTGTTAAATGGTTTGGAGGAATATTTTTTGTCAATATATACGACTGTACATCCATGGATAGGACGGAAATACTACTTTTCTTGAATTTTTTTTTATGTGATTCAGACATATTTAACAATAAAAATATGGTATAATCTGATTCTTCATGCCTTAAAACATGAAATGATGAATCATTCGTCTATATTTTATCTGGCTGCTAAAATATTTATGACAGTGGAAGTAATTAATCTTCATCGGCTTACGGAGTTTCAGGACTGTTCCCTGTGGACCATATGTGGTTTTTTTTTTTTTTTAGCCACCTTAGGGATCGATTAATCTTGATTCAAGGATTCTGGAAAACATCATAGGCACACACTAACACGCTGTCTGAATCGAAACTCAGATTTATTCTCTGTATTAACGCCCACTATATTTTATCATTTTGCCTTCATGCTGGTGAATAAATAGATCTTAATTCAAGGAACTGAACGTGTTCTCCACTTAATTGGAAGGCATTTGAGCGCTTTTTCATTCTACAGGAGCTCTACGACGCTTACTGGTTGAGAACTTTCTCCCGATTAAAATAAAACGTTATTCAAGGGCATCTGATTCTTGTAATGGAGTTAAGGCTGAATAATGTAAGTATAAATTTTGCTGGATCCTTTGCAATAACTAGAGAATGCTTTTAGCAGTCAGCTTTAAACTTTTAGTGCCGATGTGTTATTCTCTCAAAAGCTTCAGCTGCAAGTTTTAACTAATGTGCCGATTTTAATAATCAAATTTGCTTCTGTGGAATAACTGGATAATGTCTCTTCTGATCAAAGTAAGTTACAGTGTTTGACTTGACTAATTTTTTATCACAAAACTGTTTTGTTTACACATAATATCTGTGTACCTTCAAGGTCAGTGGATTTTTTTTTTGTTATGAATACATAGTTTAAATGAAACTTACTTAATTACTTACAAGTATATTTACTGATTCACTTCAGATCTTCAACGCTAATATTTAACTGCAAGAAAAATTTATGACGCACTTGGGACAGGGGTTATGCAATATGGAAATTATGCAATATGGAAATTAGATGTATTTCACGCACATCTAATGTCTTATAGTTTTTCATTATACAGTAGAATAATGCATTCATTACAGTTTTAGGATATTTGAGGCTAAACTAGAGTTCAGATAACTGGTAGCAAAATCATCTTGTGAAACGAACCAAAGTGAGTAATAAAGAGTAGACCCTTAAGCATGTTACATAATTTATTTTATTATCCACAGAGGTTCATGACGCTGGGAACAATCTGTGCATTACTTGTGAGTCTGACGGGATGCGCCGCAGGAGAACTGGCTGCCCCTGAGAGGCACTACAAGATTCTTATGCTCCTACCTGTTGGCTATGAGAGTCACAGGACTGTTTTCATGCCTCTCGCCGAGGCTCTGGCCGACCGAGGTCACAAGGTAATTCTTAAGCATCTGGATCTTAATATCCTGATTACAACTAAGGAGATTAGTCATTGTATATCCATTAATGTTGTTTCATCTAGAAATTTGCTTGACTGAGATGACTGGAAGCATCTTATGTTATGTTCTGGCTATAGACGCCATGATTTTATCCAGTAGATATGTAGCTGGTCTATTTTTACAACAAGAGTTTGGGTCTTTTAAATTAACCTAAACATTGTTTCTAAATCATTTTTCTAGATAGTGATATTGACCAACAAACCAAAGTCCTCCAAACATCCCAACATCCTGGAGGTCAACCATGGCCTTCAGCTCAGCAGTGCCAGAACAAGTTTAAATGTTTAAATTACCCAATGAACGGCATAAGTCACTTCGCTACGGGTCTTCCAACAATGGCCCGCGATTTATACAAAGTTCCCAAGGTGAAGGACCTTTTTGAACGAAGGAAGGAGTTTGATCTCATTATGGTTGATTCTTCATTCAATGAGGTGAGAGTAATTCTCTTATTTTTGTGTTAACAGATGTGAGTGAAGGGAGTAAGTTACATAAATGCAGTCCCTCAGTATTGTTTATCAATTCTGCCAATTTCACTGCTGAATCTCGCACATTACTCTTCAGTTTCCATTTGTTTGGTTTTAGTTTCATCTTTGTGTTTAATATGGAATTATATTTCGTCTATACTTTGACTTCCATTCATTCTTAATTTTTTTTATTAAACGTTTTACATGAAAGACGTATTTTTTTAATTTGCTTTAAGCGACAGAAAATCAATCTCAGCTCCTTCGAGTTCAGTAATTTCATCTCCGCAGAAATTGCATTCGCCTTAGTCTTGATTTTCTCTCACATTTCGAGAAGATCCATCTCGAACGAAAGTCTTGTTAAAATTCAGATGAAAGTAACGTCACTCTTCATCATATATCCTCAGCATCTCGTCGCAAAGGTTACAAAACATTATTCGTTGAGAAGTCTCTTCCATGTGTCTTGCTTTAAGGAACGTGAGAGCTGTGTAAAATAGTTTCGTATATGGCCTCGCAATAATCGAGCGTATATTGCGAGGCCATGTTATATTCTTCTATTCCATCATTTTATTGTGTAGTCTACAATCCAATAATCATTCTGATATAAAAATTCTTTAGCTAGGGAGTATTGAAGAGGTGTAGTAAGCCAGGATTCCTTACTAGTTTCTAAATGAGTAACGTAGATGTTTCAGACGAGTAACGTAGATGTTTCAGACGAGTAACTGAATGTTTCATTTACGTTAAAATGTACAGTATGTAGTGCATAAATTTTAACGAAAATGAAGGATTACAGAATTTCTCACAAAAGTACATACTGTGGTCTTCTGTGAGAAATTCTGTAATCCTTCTTGGCTTTTCCTGGAGTAGGCAAATACCCACAGATTATTGTTATTGTTATTGTTATTATTATTGCTATTATTATTATGTTATTATTATTATTATTATTATTATTATTGTTGTTATTATTATTATTATTAGTAGTAGTAGTAATAGTAGTAGTATACTGTGCTTTTGGGAGATTCTAAAGATTGAAAGATTCTAAAATTGAATTTAGGAAAGAGTATGGTGATGAGGATAACAAAAAAAAATTAGGTAACGATAGATTGGATATTAGATTGGAGGGAGAGAGTATGGAGGAGGTGAATAAATTCAGATATCTAGGAGTGGACGTGTCAACAGATGGTCTATGAAAGATGAGATGAATCATAGAATTGATGAGGGTAAGAAAGATTTGTGGTACACTGAGGAGTCTGTGGAGACAAAGAAAATTATTCATGGAAGCAAAGAGAGGATTGCATGAGAGCATACTTATACCAATGCTCTTATAAGGGTGTGAAGCATGGGTGGTGAATGTTGCAACGAGGAGAAGGCTGGAGGCAGTGGAGATGTCATGTTTCAGAGCAATGTGTGGTGTGAATATAATACAGAAAATCCGTAGTTAGGAAATTAGGAGGTGTGAGGTTACTAAAAGTATAATCCAATGGGATGATGAGGGGTTGTTAAGGTGCTTTGGATATTTAGAGAAAATGGGACGAAATAGAATGACTTGGAGATCGTATAAATCTGTAATAGGAGGGCGGTGTAGAGGTTGGTCTAGGAAAGGTTGGATGGAGGGGGTAAAGGTTTTGTGTGCGAGGGGCTTGGACTTCCAGCAAGCATGCATGAGTGTGTTTCATAGGAGTGGAGGAAAGTGGTTTTTAAGACTTGTGCTGGTGGAGTGTGAGCCAAGGTAACATTTACAGAGGGATTCAGGGAAGCTGGACGGACTTGAGTCCTGGAGATGGGATGTACAGTGCCTGACCTCTGAAGGGTGTTAATGTTGCAGTTTTATAACTTTATAAATGTAGTGTAAGCGCGCCTCTGGCAAGACAGTGATGGAGTGAACGATGATGAAAGTTTTTCTTTTCCGGGCCACCCTGCCTTGGTGGGAAACGGCCGAGGTCTTAATAAAAATCAATAAATAATAAATGTGTCAAAAAGTTCCAAGAGTGAAGCTAAAAAATATATAGTTTACCTAACCACCTAAATGAAGTTGTCTCCCTTGAAGTATTGTCCATGAGATAATGTACACAGATCCCAGCGCCTCTGCCACTTCTCGAACATTTCTGGATCTCTTCTTCCCTATCAGATTTTAACACGGCCTGTGATTCTGCTTGAATTTTCTCCACATCGTTAAAACACTGTCTCTTGAGTGCTGTTTACATTTCTGGAAAGAGAAAGAAGTCATAGGGGCTAGATCTGGGATAGATAACGATGTTCTTTCCGGTTTTGAGTCAGCAGCTGGATTCAGATTTCGCAGCCACTCGCCTCGTGTTAAAATTATCAGTTAAATTGCTGATAATAACCTGTATACTCTGACGATGATCTTTTATAATGTTAGTGTCTGTTTTTGACTATGATGGATGACCAGATCATTTATCATCCTCAAATGACGTTCATCCTGATTTGAATTGAGAAAATCCTTCAAAACATTGTGTCCAACTCTTGTTTCGATGTCAAATGCTTACTGAAGCATTTTTTTAAGTTCTAGATGTTTTACCGAGCTTGAAGCAGAATTACACACACACACACACACACACACACACACACACACACACACACACACACACAGTTAATGAGATGATGGAATATGTAGCAATAATATGAAAGGAGGCTGAGGAGAGGTTTGTACCCAAGGGTAACAGGAATAATGAAAAATCCAGGATGAGCCCATGGTTCACCCAAAGGTGCAGGGAGGCAAAAACCAAGTGTGCTAGGGAATGGAAGAAATATAGAAGGCAAAGGACCCAGGAGAATAAGAAGAGCAGTCGTAGAGCCAGAAACGAATATGCAAAGATAAGAAGGGAGGCCCAAAGACAATATGAAAACGACATAGCAGCGAAAGCCAAATCTGACCCGAAACTGTTATACAGCCACATCAGGAGTGTCACAAAAAACGCGATTTCTAATAAGCTTAGAGATCTCCAGTGAATACTAGAAAGGACTGCCCTTCTAGCATTCAGCCTGTTACTGGGTTTTCGTAACAAGTAGTCAGTATCCTGGTCCAATTATCCATTAGAATTCAATAAGAATTAGTTCTTCAGGATTACAACTGGTAGGCTACTAACTAAAGAAATTAAAATTTAATAATTTTATTAATAATGATGTCTAGGAGTATATTATCAAATTAAAATAAATTAATCTATTTAAACAAATTAATAATAATCACTTCTCTCGTGTACAGTAGTATTGTGCTGATGGCACATATCACGTTTAAACGTCTTAAGTACCGTCTGGTACATTAACATTTAATAATACATAATATATATATATATATATATATATATATATTATATATATATATACAAATAAGTTTGTGTGTATGTGTGTAAGTGCTCTAAGTAGTTCGCTATGTCTCACGACTCGACTAGACTTAAACCAGTGACTGACAAAGTCCTCACAAACTAACTTCTTGACCACCTGAGAATCAGAATAGCTTTCTTGAACAAGAAAACGACTGCTAAGCCCAACAACAGTATAACAAGCAACTGCGACACAGAATCAGGAACAAGGAGATTCTATAACGACACTAAGTAGGGACCATCTGCAGATCCTCCACAAAAGTCACAAAACTCCCATACTACTGAATCTAAGTTCAGCATAAGAAAATCCCCAACTGTGACAGTACACAGATACCAGTACAAGTTAGGTAAGAAGCTACAGCTCAGGACCGGAGTTGCTCAGAGTGTCTATGCGACACAGAACCTCAGTACAACGTCGAAAATCACTAAGTCTAGACAATGTTCTGTGAACAGAGTTCCACAGAACCTACAACAATAAAGCGACAGAGACGATCTTCCAACAAGGGCCATTAAGGGAGAGTTAGGCATGTCTTGTCAGGAATACGTCCAACCACCAAGAGAGTCTAGCCCAGACTGACTACTTCAGGCGAGGTGTGAACACCCCCCCTCGATCACGTGATAGCTCCATGGACAGTTGCTGCCCAGCAACACCGAGAAGCCTGCAGAGTAATGAGCCACGAGCGATAATTACAGTAATTAGACAATCAAGACTTGAACTATGAGCACATAATAATAATAATAATAATAATAATAATATATGAATGTTATATCCTACCTAACAATATAACCAAGTCAAATAATAATATAAAGTAATATTTTTACGATTTAGCTATTATCGCAAATATAAGCAATATAAAATTATATGAAAAGGTAATATACATTATATACATTGTGACCCATTCAGGGGTTGCAACAAGGAGGAAAACAACAGTCAAGGACCAGGTAATCAGGCTAAGGAAGGATGGAGGAGAGACAACAAGAATTGACCATGAAGTATGTAAGGAACTCAAGAGATTCAAAGAAGTGTTCACATTATTATTATAATCAAAAAACAAAAAAAAAAAGAAGTGCTAAGCCACAAGGACTATACAGCAGAAGTGTTCACAGAGGAGACAGAAGGGGCTCCAGAAAGACGGAGAGGTGGGGCACACCACCAAGTGCTGGACACAGTGCACACGACCGAGGAAGAAGTGAAGAGGCTTCTGAGTGAGCTAGATACCTAAAAGGCAATGGGGCCAGATAACACCTCTCCATGGGTTCTGAGAGAGGGAGCAGAGGTGCTATGTGTACCCCTAACAACAATATTCAATACATCTATCGAAACAGGGAGATTGGCGGAGGCATGGAAGACAGCAAACGTAGTCCCAATCTTTAAAAAAGGAGAGACATGAAGCACTAAACTACTGACCAGTGTCACTGACATGTATAGTATGCAAAGTTATAGAGAAGACTATCAGGAGAAGAGTGGTGGAACACCTATAAAGGAATGATCTCATCAACAGCAGCCAACATGGTTTCAGGGACGGGAAATCCCGTGTCACAAACCTACTGGAGTTCTATGACATGGTGACAGCAGTAAGACAA